ATGTAGAACATAGAGACCGTTCTCCAGTTCCCCGTATGCGATGAATCTGTTATTTCATTTAATAGTAATCCTATTACTAAAAAAGACAGAATATCCATCCGCACATAGTTTTGAGACAGAAATCAAATTTCTTCTTAAAATTTGCACAAAAAGACAATCTTTAAGTACAATGGATCCTTCTCTAAAACATAACTCTACGGTTCCTATCGTCGTAGCTGCAACACTTGTAGAAGTCCCCAAGTAGAGCGTCGTTTCGCCTTCATTTAGCCTTCTGCTTACCTTGAACCCCTAGAGTGAGTTACACGCATGAGTTGAAGCCCCAGAGTCAATACACCAGGATGCAGAAGCCACCAATAAACTGGTTTCTATTACACAAGATTCGAAATTACCTTTCTTGGATTCCAAGTACTGAGGATAATTCCTCTTCCAGTGGCCGGTCTATTTGCAGAAGTGACATGCATCCGATTCTCTGTCTTTCTTCTGCTTCTTGGGTTTGGAAGCTTTCTTCTGAGGCTTCTTTGCCTTCCTCTTTTTCTTGCCCGATTTGCTAGCTTCAGAAAGCATAGCCACAGGCTCATCATTCCTAATTAAATCCTCGGCCCTCTGCAACATGTTGCTGAGTTTCTGGATGCTGACATTCAGCTTGTTCATATTGTAATTCATTATGAATGGGTTGAAGGAAGGAGGCAAAGAGTTAAGGATGGCATCTACTTGCGTGCCAAGATCTAGCCCCGATCCAAGGGCATCAAGTTCATTGATGTAACCCATCATCCGAAGACAATGGTTGTGAACCTATTGCCTTCTTGGACATTTGAGCGGTCATGAATTGTTTCAAGACCTTCTACCGAGTAAAACGATTCTGCTCTTCGTACATTGTCTTCAAACTATCCAATATGTCCTTGGCTAGTTTGATTTGATCGAACTGCCTCTGTATCGGATTGTCTAGAGAGGCAATGACATAGCAGCGGGCTAGGGAGTTTTTATCCTCCCAATCTTGGAATTCCCTTCTTTTGGCCTCAGAAGCCCTGTCGCTTGGATGCTCCGAGGCAGGATTTTTAACTACCTTATCCAATTTTTCAGATGTTAAGACCAGCATGAGGTTACGGTACCAATCGGCATAGTTCAAGCCCTTAATCTTGTTATCATGAAGAAGCTTTGCAAATTGTCTGTTTGCCATTTTCTGGTAAAACAACAATAATTAGTCCACAACCTAATTTGATTCATGTTCATTACATAGATATGGCTTTTAATCTATGTTCCATTCCCATTTGTTCATCTCTGAGATTTCCCTCCCATCTCAATGACGGAGATAGCGACTTGTCTCTG